AATTGCAATGAACTTGTGCATTTGTGGTGGAAATGAAAGAGCCTATTTAAATTAATGAAAATTTAGTAGATGACATTAACGGTAATTATACTAACATCTACAGAGAAAACAAAAACTCTGGCTTGCTTGATTAGAAACTTAATAGACAAGGTCCTTCATTAATGATCAAGGATCTTACAGTAACCTACTTGCATTAATTCAAGACGGAATAGTGTCTTAAGGTTAAGAAGCAATGTATTCATTAAACATTTCCTCTGCGGATGTCTTTAATTACATGTATCTGAAAGTTCAGATTTTTTTTTTCTCCTTACAGACAGAATTTAAGAAAGACCAGTAAAGTTTTGGGTCAACAGCAGTATTAAATGTCATTACAGAGAAATAAAACAGCCTTCACAAATGGAACATTCAGTGACAAAATTCCACTTTGGAACGCAAAATTAAAACCAGGCTGTAAGAAACTGCATTAAGCATCAGGAAGTTTTGCCTTTGCTCACTGAACAGGAGAAAGTCCCAGCAGTTGAAGCATTGGTGTTGGAAATTTGCGGGTGAAGATAAACAAGAATTAAGCAGACTTGCAAGTTAAGCATCTGGGCCAATTTGGCATCAGCATTCAGCAATGTGGTTGGTCCTGCTAAATAAGTCTCAACAAAACAACAGGTATGTTGACAGAGAACCAGCTGGTGAGTGGGACAACCCTGTGTATTATACTGAGTCTCATATGAATGACCTTCTGCCTGCTGGGCAGAACTCATGGCTATGTGATCTGTACAAGTTCCTGACTCTCAGAGAGTGAGGCCTTTCTTCTAAGGCCCAAAGAGCTGCTCTGGAGGAGCTGGAAGAGACAGAGAGCTTGAGGAAAAGTCGTTTCAGGGAGAAAATAGCACTTTCCTCTTTCCTCTTGGTAATCAAGGAAATTCCTGAGGTATGATGGTGCCACTCTAAGGAGAGGGGAAGGAGCTCTTAGAAGCTTGCTTTTTTCAGAGGGTGAACAGTTATCTTCTCAGATTGAGGATACACAAACTCCAGAAGTTTTGGGTGTGGGGAGGAAGGAGTGGAGGTTGTGGGGGATTTCAGCACTAATGAAGTGAGGCAAAGTAGTCATGCAGTCTTGGAAGCCAAATTTAAATTACTGTCAGTTCAGTTTACATAGATCAGCAGAGTCAAATGGTTTCAATGAGTGGATGAGATGATGGCTTCCAGGAATTCCCTAGCATTTTTGGATTTAGCTTGGTCTAGGATGCTCACAGTTTCCCAGTTGAAACTATGGTTGAATCTGTCCAAGTGTCCTGGAAGCTTGGCACTCAGACACATCAGCCATCAATAGACACATAGAGATAAATCATATTTACACTCCATTCAAAAGAAATGATAAGAAAGCTAAGAAGGAAACAAAGCGACTAGAACACATCCTTGCCAGCAGCCTACACCCAGATAAACAGGGATTAACACCCGGCAAACAATCAAGCAGAAAACTATACTCTAATCAAGGAACTACCAAGGAGAAAACCACATCCCCACCAACACTGGCAGGGCAAGCTACTGTATATAAACAGGGGACAAACCCCATACCCACTATAGCACTGATGATGTTACCTAGTCGGGTAATGAATGTCTGCAAGCTCAGAGAGCACCAAGGACTCCACAATACAACCCTGAGCTATATATATTCTCTTCCATTGGTAACACCACCACACTATCCACTAAGACAAATGGTCACGGGGTGGCTTCGTGAAGTCAAATGTAATTGTTGTAAGGCTCTATTATGCAATCATAGTCATCCAGTGAATGAGTCAGGATGCTAGAAGGATTATTTATTTATTTACCAATCATATTTATATGGCCGCCCATCTCACAGATGTGACTCTAGGTGGCATACAATAAAACCATAGAGTAACAATATTAAAACACACTACCATTATAAAACATTGATATTATTATTAAAAAAGGCAAGAGCGTTGGATATTATGAACAATGGAGCCACCTCAGCAGATCACTATTCCCTTGAGACCCCCAGGCCTGTTGACACGGCCAAGTTTTGAAGGCTTTCCAGAAGGATGGCAGAGAAGGGGCCACTCTCACTTCTGGGGGGATGATGTTCCACAGGGTGAGTGTCACGGCAGAAAAGGCCTACCTCCTGGGTCCCGCCAGATGTAACTCCTTAGTAGGCAGGACCTGCAACATACCTCTTCTGCCAGATCTGATGGGACAGGCAGATGTAATCAGAAAGAGGCATCCCTCACATAACCAAGCCCCATGACATGAAGGGCTAATATAGGAAAAGAAGCCATGCCAAAGCTAGAACAGGTCTAGCCATTGCAAAGAGAGATGGGAAAATGTACAAGAGAAAGAAACAGTTTCCAGGAAGGGTGTTTTGCCCCTTCACAGGTGAGTCTAAATGCTGGAGTCTATTCTGGAAAGTAACTCAATTCCTACTGAGCTGCATTCCACAGGAGAACACGTGTAGCACTGCTTTGTTTTTCAGATGATTGGAATAAGATAAAATAACCCCAGTGTGATAATCTTGAGTCAAAGGTTTAATCTTGATACTTTTGATAATTGCAACTTTGCTTCTAAACTACTGCTGAAAATCAGCTCACTGCTGAAATGCAAATCAAATGCCGGAGAGCTTCATTGCAAGGCATTAGGAAGTCTTGTGATGTGTACTGAATTCCATTCAGTATAGAAATTAGAGTGAAACAGTAGGGCTCAAATTTACACATGGGGAGCTAATTTGTTTTCAAAATCATATCCCCTTGCACAATCATGAAGGTCAGAATTAAGATTCAAGCCCATGTTCCTTACTGCTTTTTCTTGTCAGAATACACATCTGAACAAAGAATGTATCAAAAAATTAAATATAGGTAATATATTTGCTCACAAATATATGAGCAAGCCCATTGTGTGTGTGTGTGTGTAAAATGGCCAAAGATATCACTCAGATGAGATTTTCCTTATTTCTTGATTTGGGTACTTCCTTTGTATTTTAAAATGTTAACTCTATCCATTGACTTACACAATCGTTTTACTGTATTGTATGGTATGTTTTGGAGGAAAACAGCAGGAAATAGATTTGGTGGTGGAGGCTGAGTGGAAGCTGGAAGCACATAGATCTGTATCACCATGTATGGCTTTCCTATATAACATAGTGTTTATGTGTCCATTGTGCAGTTTTACTTTGACCTTAAGGAAGTGGAATTGCTCTATAGGTCATGGCTGAGGTTGATGACGGGGTGGAAATTGTTGAAGTCATGATGGAGTTTGATGAGAGATTCATTTCCATGGGTCCAGATGCTGGAAACATAATCAATGACTCTGAAGTAAAGGAAAGGCTTCAGGGGTAAGAGTTGAGAAAGCACCCCCAGGAGAACACACTTGGTTCCACAATATGGTTGACCTAGAACAACACTTTCTCAACAGACTTCCTCAACTGCATTTGTTCTAATTCACTTGACAGAGATGCTCAACTGATGGAATTAAACTAAGCATTCAGGAGACAGAACCATACACCCAATAAGATCACCAGACAAATCAATAGATTCGGGTCGACTCCTAGGGAAGCTCTATTAAAAGACCACAACAAGAGAACACCACTGGTTGTCACTACAGCTCACTGCTGAAGCTACTCAAATACATTATTAATACCCTGCATATTGGATAATGACATTGCACTTTCTCAGGCTTGGCTTGTAGGACCGTACTTGCATACAGATAACTACCAAACCTGAAGCAGTTTTTCACAAGCAACAAGCAAAAACAGGACAATGATGCTAACATGAGAATCAGACCCTGCAACAAACCCAGATGTCTACTTTGACCCCATATTTACACCAGCTGGACCATTGCCCCCACCCCCCAAACTTCACACACAAGATTAGAGGTACCTTCACATATTCTTTCTCTAATGTGATATAGGCCATCATCTGCCAGCAATGTCCCTCTGGATTCTACATAGGACAAACAGGAGAAACTTTGTGCAAGATAACTAATGGGCATGTTTGACTTCAGGACTTAAACCAAGTAATATCAGAACATTTCAACCTCCGACACCATTCCAGACCTCAAGGTGATCATCTTGGAAAAATGAAACTTGAACAACATGATTGAGCAAGTGATTGCTGAACTGGCATACATCGAAAGGTTTCAGGCTACCATAAAAGGACTCAACAAACACAATGGATTTTTAACATACTACAGTTGTTAACTGATCAGGTACTTGTAATCTGTTTCACATGTAACCTGTGTCTGCATACATAACCCATTTCCCCACCTCCTGCCTCAATGCAATTCAAATTCTATACAGGATCAATTTAGTACCCTGTGCTTCTAAACTAGTGAGCTGCAGCTTGCAAAAGCTTATGCCTTTTAATAACACTTGCTAATTGGAAAAGGTGCTCTTAGACGCCTTCTGATATTTGTAGATCGTTTCCTGTGCATACCCAAAGGGACATTGTGCTTTCAGTATTCAGCCACAACAGAGCCAGATGTTCCCTGTTACATTCTGTCTGAATGCACGTTTAGATCTAATTTTCCAGTAAATAGAGAAAAAGTGTTCATTTTCTTTATAACAGCCACTGCCATTATGGTGACGGAGAGGTTTGGGAGCAGATATTGTAATTTTTTCTTTAAAAGTATAGCAACAACAGAGATTCACACACACACACACACACACACACACACACGGCACATTTACATCAAGACCAAACCCAGTTGCTGGAGGGCTCCAGTGTCTTTTTTGACATTCTGGTGGCTAACACTTGAAAGCTATTCAGATAGCTCTCAAACATTAGGGATTAGTGAGAAAGCATCATTCTGGGCCATTAACAAATCATCTCCTGGGCCATTAATAACCCTACAGCCATAATCAAATATGTCATAGCTGTACAAAATAATCTAGCAGCATAGATAAAGGAAGGCTGAGAGAATTATGTGTCTTAATAGAAAACAACAAATATGTTTCCTACGATTTGTATTTATTTGTTGCCCAAAATAGATGTACTTACAGTATTGATCAGATTCTTCTCTGGTCTTCTCATTTGCCTGAAATGTTTCACATCCTAGGACAGCTTTTCCAATGATTTGAGTATGAGGAATGCAGCACAATGTCTAGCACTAACATCCCAGATTTGAAAAGCAAGGGTAACCCGACGCGCAAATTGGAAAAGTTGTAATAAAATTTTAGTCCAGCAATAACTGAACAGGACAAACAGGAATTTCAAGGGAGCAGCCTGACCATTAGCCCCGCCTTGTTCTTTGGCATATTTTCATAAGAGAGTAGAAAACTGGATGGCTAAAAAGAATGTTTGACAAACTATAGGTTGCACAATGGAGTGCAATACCCAGTTCTTGCGGAGTTGATAAGAATGTCTGAAAAAATGGAATGTGGTAACAGAGCAAACAAATGAACTCCCACAGAAGGCAGTGGAAAAACGTGCAGTGGTGATTACGAATATAGTTACTGGCTCCTCACATGTAAGGCTGATGCATATTAATTTTTTCTCATGCGATTGCTATGCACGTTTCTTTGAACAACGACTATGCCTTTATATTTCATGATCTCTTCTTTAGCTTAGCTTGTTTCAAAGTTTCTTTAATTAAAAAAAACACACACACATTCTATCATCTGTTTTGTGAATTTTTAACACTCTTTTAAAAAGTCCCAGGACTTCATTTTCAAGAGAATTAGCTATGCAGGGAGACCATGAGAATGAGAGGAAGCCAAAATGAACTGCTACAAGCAGGTTGTCTAATGCATTTAGACCTCAGTCAAAAAAAACTCCATGATGTTGCAGAGCAGTTAGGAAGCCTTGTGAATGGTAAAACTTCTGAGTCTAATTAACACAGGCACAGAGTCAAAGCTAGCAAGGTAATTAAAGTTTAAGAAATGGATGTTAAAGTGTTGGAATCACCAACGAGCTTCATTCTCTTTCTCTCAGGCAGTTAGTCCACAGCTGGATGAGGGGAAAACAAAATGGAGACACAGTGTGTTGGGAAGACCTAGTTATAAAAATTTGATGAGGCTTGCTACAGTAGAAGTTGGACTTGGCTGAATGTTAGGGTCACCAGATCTCGGTTACCAATAGATAGATGACTGCTAGATCATGGTCAAGAAATATCAAAGCTCTAACTCTTTGCTGCCATCTACTGATTGTCTGGATGTTTGTACCCTCATTCTAGTAGACTTACTGAATGGGCAAGGCATCTGGAAACGTTGTGTCAAATGATGCCAGCACTCACTCAGTCTCATCATATCATGCCAGTGAGGTCATGAGGATAGTCCCTGGGCAAATGCTTGTTAAAATCCGGTTATGGTGTAGTTGCATCAACTTGTTCAGGGATCTTTTGTTTTTGAATATGTTGCTGGTTCACTAAACTCTGCATTGCACATACCCTAATTAATACCTAGAAACTATCTTGGAGACATCAGTAGGTGAATTTCTAGCTGCATATTTTCTCGTTCTCAAAGCCTTATACAAAAATTATTATTATTTTTTTAGATTTCTTTTCTGTGCTGCTCCCTGCTTTGGTTTTTGACCTGCAGCAACATGACTGATGCCTACTTTGTGGGTTTTAAAAATATCAATTCTGTTACTTGTACTTCATGAATATATACTTATAATTTTAGTACATACTAGACAACCCTGTGACCCATTGGGTCATTCTCTGAGAGAAAGGTGGTGCAGTCTGATGTGACCAGAATGAACCTTACATTTTAGATTGACCATTTTTTTTATCCCAATGCTGGATGGTCCCGTGATCATCTAAAAGGAGTATATATCATAAATATAAAAATAATTGTAGTGGCAAACTTACCTAAACAGATAAACAGAATGACCACGGGTGGGCAAAAAAACAGTGGAAGTGGGAGCAACTTCTGGCTTCCTGCCAGCTTCCCCATTGACTTTGCTTGTGGGAAGCTGGCAGGAAGCAACAGAGATCACAATCATGTGACTGTGGGGAAGCTGCAACAGCTACAACTTTGCGAATGAAAGTGGTCTGAACATTGTGGAAATTTCAAACTCACAGGAGTATTGGGTCCCAGACTTTTTATGCATCCTTTAAGTTAGCAGATTCAAAAATTGTGGTATAATGCACCGTTTGGGCTAACTTGAGGGTACAAACAGAAAAACAGCTAAATACAATGAGAGTTTTAGTAGTATATATTGTAGATGGTTTTGTTGGGGTAGTGGTGGTCATGTCATAGTTTTAGACACACATGCTTCTGTCTCATCTTTTTTTCTGCTAATATTCAGGTTTAATGAATTGAAATATTTTTTTAATTTTGAAAGCTGCAAACTTTTAAAGTGAGAACTGTAAACTTTTTCCTATATACTGATATATCTTAATTTCTGTTACCTGTGATGGTGAATTAACTATTCCAATGTGTTACAGGGGACAATCCTGATGCCTTCTAAAGATGCTTTGTGTGTATGTGAATTAAAAGGGGGTTACAAAACTTTTTTAGGATGCAAACATCTTTTGAGGGCCATGCCAGGAGTTATATCTCAAAGGGTAGTGTGTGTGGTCAGCAGAATGCTAAATTGGTATTAATTTTTTAATGTATATTTAAGCTAAAAATTAGTTAGTCAATATGATCACTCTCCAGATCTGTAATTTATAATTACAATTTGGTAAGAAGATTTGAAGAGCTCTGCAGGCCACATCAAAGGCTTTCCTGGGCCTCAAATTGTGCATCTCTGGAATGAAACTCTCCAGTTTCTCCCCTCCATGCCTCTGGCTTTTGCAAATGAACTGTCTGAAAGGTAGACCAATACATCTTCATTGTGCTGATCACATGAGCAGTGCAAATGTGGGCAGTCTGCATAGCATGGACATCCACCACACCATGAAAATGGGTAGATGTATGACTGCAAGAATATGATTTAACAAAAAGGAATTAAAAAAAAAACTTCAAAGAAAAATATAAAATTAAATTTATGGTGATGACCATCGTCTTAGATGGCTTTAAAAAGAGGATTAGACTAATTCATGGTAAATGAGGCTATCTGTAGCTGCTAATCATAATGGCTATATTCTACCTCCAGGGTGAGAAATAACCGGTTTCTACTAGTCACTGGCAAACATCAAAAAAGATGGCTATTGCTTTTCATGGAGATCTGGCCAGTTCCTTAAGATTTTGTACCTTGAATAGTTGTATACAAAAATAATGTTACTAGTATCATGCAAATGATGGTGCAGGAACCTCTTTTAAAACTATCTAACCATGCTTCAAGTTGTCCACTAGAGAAAACAGAACATCAACAGTCCTATCCTTCTGTTCTTGCTATGACAGGCTGTCAGGTTACCAAAATGTTCACCTAGAGAAAAGCAAAGAAAGCATGACATGAAAATGGAGGCTCAGATATCACATGCTATCTAATTTATCATTTGTTGTGTACATAAAATAGCCAGTGTTGCTTGGAGCTAGGCATCTTTCAAATCACTACAAATTGAATGAATGAATGAATGAATGAATGAATGAATAAATAAATAAATAAATAAGCTTGGCTGCATAGGAGGCAGGGAGTGTGTTTTCCAACTCTAACCCCAGTGTTGTGTACAAAAGGAGCCGGACGCTATTTGTATCCACCCTTTTTGATTTTCACTGGTTACTTTCCCTTTCCCTTCCCTCCTCTTTCCTCCATGTCAAAGGTTCTGTGCTACATTGCTTAGGGAGAGGGAGGATTTGGCCCATATTTATTGTGTCTATGATGCATATTTATTTTGATGGTAAAATTCATAACTTGCAAGCAACCAGTTATAAAGTGCTTCTTATTAATGAGAAGCCTGTAGAGTCGGACTTGGAACACTTAGCTGGCTCTTATGATCTGGCTGACAGAGTTAAATGAACAAGAGAGCCAGAAATTACTTTGCAGACAATTAGGGTTTGGCAATTAGGGTTTCTTGTAGAATAAAGTCACCTCAGATAAACTCCAGTCAGAAACTTATTGACCACAATTTATAACCTGTTAAAATGTAATTCTGCTCTGGAAAATGCTATTACGGCCTAAAAGATGGCTAGGATGAATACAAGATAAACAAAATGGCTTTCAGGGAGCAAGAATTCTACCCCAACCTAGCAACCTTATACGGAGTCATCTGGGAGAAAGCTTTTCACTGACAGCATTTCCAAGGTGAGAAATATCAGCAATCAAGTTTCAAAATCACATGTTCCTTTATAGAGAAGAAAAATATAATGTAACTTCATGATAAGAAAAGAGAAAAGAGAAAAGAGAAAAGAGAAAAGAGAAAAGAGAAAAGAGAAAAGAGAAAAGAGAAAAGAGAAAAGAGAAAAGAGAACCAGTTTGGTGTAGTAGTTAAGGCAGCACCGGGCTAGAAACCAGGAGACTGTGAGTTCTGGTCACGCCTTAGGCATGAAATTTGGCTGGGTGACTTTGGGCCAGTCCCTCTCTCCCAGCCCAACTCACCTCGCAGGGTGGTGGTTCTGAGGAAAATAGGAGGAAGAAGGAGTATTAGTTTGTTTGCCACCTTGAGTTATTTATAAAAATAAGAAAGGTGGGATAAAAAAATCTAAAAACAAACAAACAAAAAAGAATAAAAGAAGCATTAGAAAATATTGCTGTGAGGATAGTACCATGTGCTACATAAACCATTCTGTTTATTTTTATTGTTTAGGGAAAAAGTTATTATTGCATAATCTTTTTGACATACTGATATGATTCCCAACACAATTACATAGTGGAATAAGAGAGATTTCAGAGAAGATACAGCAGATTTATTTATCATGGCCTCCAGAGCTCTAGGATAGCAGACTATCCCAGCAGGTTTGGTCCTATTTGTGAGAACTGGCTGTTGAATCTTTATGCAAATTAGACCCAAGCCAAAACCTACATTTTCCCTGTTCTGCCTGGACAAGGCAACCTCCTGGCACAGGAGAAAGAAAAGCCTGGAGCCCATCTGACAGAGATCAGGCTTTGCATAGTTATGTCTCACCATATTTATTATACTTCTTGAAATAATACAGGTTTTTTTTAGATACATTAATGTCCCAGTTATTAACTACTTTCATATTTCTCATATTGAAGGGCTAACATGATGAAGTATGCCTGAACTGTTCATTGCTAATTTGGATAATCCTGGACATAAACCCATTACAAGAAAACAAAATACTGCAACAAAAAAGGCTTGGCTACTATATTA